CCCCCCACCCATTTATCTCCGTCTACAATCCAAGAGTGACACTTACGTTGATCACACCTGTGTCCAGTCCAGCCAGAGGAACAGAGGCAAGTGTTGGGCCCCACGCAGCGACCGCCATTCATGCAAGCCGGCCGACACACGGCTGTGGACCACGTCAACAACAGAAATATGTCAGGCATCGCGGTGAAAACAGGCGCTCGTCAAATTCAAAATACTGAATTCGAAGACATCGATTGTCTTCTTGCCGGTTTGGAAATTTTAACGTTGTTTTGTTTTGTTGTTGTTGTTGTTTTTTTTGCTCAACACCATTTATTACATCTTTTAAAAGATACATTCCTCTGTAGATTTTTACTGAAAAACGTAGATTTATTTTCAGTTTCCAAAAACTTTCAAGCTATTGAAGTCACCAAACTTTAGCCGCCATTTTCTTGCAAATTTTACCCCTGAAACCAGACGATGGCCTCCTCCTTTAATCGCAAATACAGTTGCATCTTGACTTCTATTTAAGACTGGCGGGTACTATTTTCATCAAAAGCAAGACTAACGAACATGCTTAAAGATGATACCAATGACTCCGTATGCCCCAAAAAAGACGAGCGCCTGGTTCCACCACGAGAAGACAAGAAATTCAAAGCAAGTAAAGATTAGGTTATTAATGGCGAGATAAATCTGAATGATTGTCCAGCTATAAGGGGTCTAATTTGTCGGGCCAAGTGGCTGGGGATTTCTGGGTAGGTCTCTACGTTTCTTTTTTTTGCCGTGTGTCCGTGAGAAAACCCCTAGATTTTTTTCTTTAATTGTCGTAGGTTTATTTATTTGTTTTTATGATGACTGGTATCTTGATATAATGTGGTGATGATAAAATCTCAAACACATTAAAGCTACCCAAATCTCCTTAATTTTTGAGTACGTGTCTTATTGACAGCCCTTTCACATCGTAAATATGGGGCCGTATTTGCTGACAACAATCAGTTTCATCAGAAGTAAAAATTCTGGAGTGAACTACGGTCCAGGCCTAGGTCCAGGTCAACGCACGACTCTTGTATGGGTGGTGGTTTTGGTTAGGCTTTTGGCTGTTGCACGCAGCAGACGTCAGTTCGATTTACTTTTGGGAAAAAACCAAAAAATATTTCCAGCAATTGCAAAAACAAAAAAACAGTGCTTTATTAGATAAGGTATGTATTCTTTCTACTCCCCCC